ATATTAACAGGAAATTACCCATGCCGCCAATGTTACCCATTCCGTATTCATTCAATTTTTCAATTATAATATCTAAAATGTGTTTCCTTAAAAACTAAACTTAAAAACTTTGTTGACCTATACCCAAAATCTACTCGCTATTCTATTTAAACAAGCAATTCTACTCCTCACCCCTTCTTAGCTCTATATTTTTCAACGAATTTCCACCCATTCTGAGAATGAAGAATTCGTGTCAATTTAACACTCATTCGCTCGACTGGTGTTCGACCATCTAATTTTGTATTGCATATGTATGCAGATTGCCCCATACCTTACTGAAAATTTTTTCTTACTACTAAGTACTATATTTACATTTTTAATTTGAAATTTTTTTCTCCTAGTTTTTTGTTACTCTTATTTTTGGTTTTTTTTACGTTCTGTTTTCTTTCTCATTTCTAAGCGTTAAGAATTTTTTTTTTTGTTTTGAATTTTTTTGCTTTTTAAATAAAGTGTAACGCTACAATGATGTTGATTGCGATGATAGTAATGTTGATATTTTGTGAAAACTTGTTTTTGTTTTTTTTGTTTTTTCTCTTTTTTCAACGTTTTAAGTTAAATTTTATATGAACAAGAGAGATAAGAAGCGAAAAAGCAGAACGTGGTACTAATTCGTATTTCTTATTTTTTTTTTTTGTTTTTTTTTTTTTTGTTCAACAATATACATACAATATTTTGGGTGAATGGAGTTTTCCACTCGTTTTTTTCTTTTTGTTGTTATTTTTGTTCATGTGCCTTTTTTTTATTCTTTGAAAGCATACCAGCGTTGTGCTCGCAATCATCAACAAAACAAAGTATACAAAATGAGATGGAGGAAAAAAAAAGAGGTTATTTTTTTTTAACAAGATGAAAATTTGTAGGTAACTTATAAGATACAAAAGACTTCACGGTCTTTCAAAATCTTTGTATATACTATATAAAATGTATAAGTTATTTTTATATAGCAGTTATTTGCTAACTGCTGATACAACTCTACATATTTCTATATTAAAATTTTTTATGGTAAATTTTTGTGTATACTCGTATGTGAATGTATCTAACGTATAAAAAAAAGACAAATTTTTTGCGCGATGCTTTCTTTTCTTACAATAGTTTTTTATATTTAACATTTCTGATGTTTCTTTGCATATTATCTTAACAATAATAATATTAATTTCTACCTGTATAACAATGTATATATATTTGTACCTGTCCGCTTGTATATAATCCGCTTGATCATTTTGAATTTGGGTTGGTTTTAAATTTATAAAAGAATAAAAATGAATTTTCTATGCATACTTACAACATTTCTACATACATATTAACATGTCTATTATTAGATCGTATATTTATTTATATATTATGATAAACAAACACATGCACTTATCTTAAAGTACATAACGATATATATTTATATTAATGCTCATATGTTTTGAAAACTTATCTGAATATGAGAGTAAAATTTTATGACTTTTTATGAATTTAGATTTTTTAGTTTTGTTTTTTTGCATTTTATAATATTTTTTGCGACTCCTAAGGTTTGACCTCATTACATTTTTATTTTTGTTCTCTTTATTATAAAAGCATATGTATACATATATGTATAGTATAATATGAAGGTGTATGTAATTATCTAAGTAGTATTCTTTTTCATATTTTTTGTACGGTCTTTTTTTTATAGCTGTTATCTTGGTGCATAACTTTATTCAAATTATCTGTTAATCTAAAGTTAGCGAATAACTATTTCAGCTCATTAAGCAAATGAACGGTGGAAAAAAAAAATTATTATTTTTTTTCTATTAATAATTTTGTCAATCGGTCCATTTAAAAAACCAAATTATAAATTAAATATTTTAGAAAACTTTGATGTTATTTTGTTTTACGTAGCACAAATTAGATTGCAGATTATAGATTATTGAAGAGAGACATCGACAAAGGAACTCGTCCCCTCCGACCACCGTAGTGCATCTCGCTTATAATACCATGGTTCTAAACAAATATCCAGATGTGAGCTCCCACTGAGAGAACATTCCGACGGTCAGACCCGGACAGTTATACAAAATATGTATGGCCGTCTCTTCGTCGCCACTTTAGAACCAATACAAAAGGGAGTCCGATCTGCCTAGATTGTGAAGCACGAAACCGATTTCGATTCGTCCCCAGCAGCTCTCGACAGAACTTTTTTGAGCAAGATGGCAGGAACAGCTTCACATGATGTCATCCATCAAGAGCCTCCCAGCGAAGATTCGACTTCCCTAATGACAGACATTGACAATCCGAACAAAAGGGACCTTTGTTTTTAAGGGCAAAGGAACTTCATAATTTGTCTGTGTGAGTCCGTCTAACATAGAGCATATTATACTCTATGTCCATATTATAGCAGTCATCTGTCAAAATAAATCGAATTTGAACCACAAAAAAATAATATTACATAATATAAAGTAATTTTTATTCTACTTTTCCAATTTCAAAAAAAAAACTTTAAGATCAAAATGGTGAGTTCTTTAATAATATAAAAACAAAAGACTACAACGGAAAACTTTCCAATTCTTTCAGTGTTAGAATTTGTAATAAGTTTTGCCTACACATTCATTTTTACAATCGAAATTAAAAATTTCGAAATTCGAAATTTCAAAATTTCGAAATCGAAAATGAAGTTTCGAAATTGAAAATATTTCACAAAAATTAAAGAAAATAATGATTTCAATTTGATTTTATAGCTTTGGTACTTTTTATTTGGTATTACATAAAACCTTCCGTACATGTCTGCATATGTACTCATTAGAATTCTTAACATTTAAATGAAAAAAATTTACTGAAATTTAAGGTGTTAATTAAAATAAATTTCGAATTAATATTAAATTAATTAAATAGCTAACTGTAGATTTATTCTTAATTTACAATTAAAATTAAATCACGATTATAGGCAATTAATCTAGCGACAATTTTTTTTCCTCCTTTTCACAATCATATTTTGCAACTTCAGTCATAATGTTGGTGAGCTCAGAATATATGAATGGTTTATTATAGAAATTAGGTTTTCTCTCTTTTAACTAATTTATGATTAAATTCAATCAGGAAATAATTCTATTCGTTTAGAAAAGAATATACTTATACGAGTATAGATATTTTTTTCACCAACTAAGAAAAAAAGATCGTAGAAAAAATAAATTTGTTATTTTTTTTACTAAAAAACCGTTTTAACAGGAAAAATTTTTGATGACAAAAACAAAAAATAAAATAAGACAACAAAACTTTCTTTTTTCTAATTTTTTTTTTGCAAGAAGAAATAGAAAGAATAATCACCTAAAACACCTTTTAAGGTGTGTTATCATAGAAAATTTTTGCTTGTTTTGTTTTTTTTTTTTATTTTACATAAGTGTATAGGTGATAATATTAAAATAATAATTTAGATATTTAGCAAAACAAAAAAAAAACAAAAATTTGAATAAAAAATTAAGATTTTATGATCGTCATAAAGGTTTTCTATCTGACTCATCCCCATCATAATTTGAATTGAATGATGTGAAAAGATTCTTACGAAAAAAGAAAAAGAAAACTGCAGAAATAAAAAAAATATTTACAATATGAAAGTTCCTCTATAAATCAACAAAAAATTTCGTATTTTTACACAGAATAGAAGAAAAAAAATTTACAAATTTTTGAGTTTTCAACTTTGTTTTTTTTTGTAATTTCTAGGTCATAAATTATACAATTCTTAAACAACTTGTAAAATTTTTTTTTTTGTGAAAAATTTTATTCTATTTTGTTAGTTTTAATTTTTAGGTTATTTACCTTAATTCTTGCCTGGTTGCCTGATTAGTTGGGATCTTTAAATAAAATTTATTTACATAATAATTTTTCATTTAAAAATAAACTTAATGAATTGCTCTTGTATTTTATTTGTTTTGTAAGAATTCTAAGTGTATAATTATAAAAATGTGCCCATTTTATTTTGTAATATAATTTAATTTATAAGCTAAGATATGAAATAAAAACGAATTTTATTCATTAGATATTTTTAACCTTTGAATTTAAATTGAAAATTTTTAAAATTAAGATGAAAGAATCATCATAAAAATTTGTTTTGGTATTTTTTTTTATTTTCGAAATTATTCCCGTTAACATAGTTTTTGGGTATTCGGAATAACTTTTAAGAAAGAAAAAATTTTATGATGTGAAAAAAAAATTAAATGGCAAAAAACCAAAAATAAATTATAATGAAAGTTATTAAAAAAATGCTAATAATGATTTTCTTTTTTATTTTAAAGTACAAAATATTGGGTGCAAAGAACAAATAAAGATTTTATTGACTTGTTATAGTCTCACAAGAACCAATTAATTATAACAATGATATTGCTTTTAATAATTAGCAAGTGTTTTAAAATTAACTCAGAGTTCAAAATATAAAAAACAAATTGTAGAAATACACGAGTCTTTGGAATATTGAAGCTTATTTAATAAAATCTAATATTTTTAAAATTTTTAAATAAAAGTTAAAAAAAACTAAGTTATTGATTACAAATAACATGCAGCTTTAAAGCATGAAATGGTGTATGGAATACTATCAAATTCAAGTTATTAAGAACTAATTTTATCAAATAAAAATTCAATATGGGCCATCAAATTTAGAGCGCATTTTGGAACAGCATATTGAATTGTAGACAATGGTGAGTATCGAAGAAGATCTAATGAAGAATTAAATGATATAATAGAAAATGAAGACATCGTTAGATTTATAAAAGCACAAAGACTAAATTGGGCATATCTTTTGATATATGAATGGAAAAAAGCCGGACACAAACCAAAATATTTAAAGCGAAACCGTTATATAATCGTCCGAGAGGAAGACTGAGAATAAGTTGGAAAAACAATATCGAAAACTACCGCAGTCAAATTGGTGTTCATAACTGGTAAAATTTTGCAAAGAATAGAATTGTCTGAAGAAATAATGTGAAGAAAATTAAAGTTCACCCCGAGCTGTAATGCCAAACGATGATGATGATGATGATGATGATGTAAATATTGAATTGAGGAGAGGATTAAGACTTCGTTTCAGTCTTACCATTCTTAAGCACATTCATTATTGAAATATATACACGAAAAATACGATAAAGAAAAATTAATGGTTTGTTAGCTTGACTTATTTTAAGAAGCTCTGGCCATCCATCTCATCTAATTTTGTCCTTCGATAATTTTTAACACTTGTATTAAAAAAAATATATATATACTTATATATTTAATATATATATTTTATAATTTAAATTAAATTTGGAAAATCAAAACTTGACTAGTAGGTTCTTTGCGTTATCTACTTGTGAAGTTGATCGTTTTATTTTGTTTTTTTTTTGTGTAATATAAGATATGGAAAACACACTCTATAATTTCAGAAATTAGGTGACCATACTACACAAACGACAATATGGTTTTTTTTCTTATCAAATTTATTATATTTTTATTATTGTGGAATTTTAATAACTTAATTACTCAATTACTCTCTATGTACCAGCAATAAGTTCAAATTTGAGAAAAATCAAATATAAACAACACAATCGAATATTCGATAGCATATTTTGAATACAACAAAAAGAGAACCTTAAAATACAAGAGAATCGAGTTAAGAGAATTTTATGACGTATAAGAATTTAGTTTTATTAAAATTATCCAATAATTTACGATGTCGCTACTTGTATGAAACAATTAGAATTTTTCCATATTTATTGATATTTTAATGCATCTACTTTAGATTATTTACGTATTTGTGAACCATTTATAAAAAAAAAAGTAAAAGTTATAAAATTCTTAAAAAGGGGAAGTGAAAATAAATTTCAAAATTTTTATTTTTAGCACAGATATTTTATGTTTTCATTTAACTCTAACTTTATATAGACTAACCTTATATAGAGAAAATATAAATGTGGTTATTAGCGTTAAACACAATAATAAACTTTTTCCGTTTTTTTTTAATTTTGACTACTGAATGACGCGACGACATTAAAACGATTCTAAATATTTCATATAGGTAAAATAATCCACATTTAGTAAAAAATCTTAATTTATGATACGGCCAAAATGATTTTATGGAAGTCAATTTCCTCCAGCATTAACCATTACATTAACGCTAATTTTGGTCATTTCTGAAAATAAAAACAAAAAAAACTTGAATATTTGACGCAAACCTCAAATGGAATTTTGACATTTTCAATTGTGATCATTTTTATATTTTTAATTTTTTTTGAATGCTATGACAACATTTCAAATTATTGTTTGAATTGTTGAATATTATAGGCTTTTTTAAGAATTATTGTTTATTTTAAATTTAGAAATATTTTTGTTAAAAGAAACAGCAATTTATTTTTATTGTTATTAATAATGTTTCCCTTATTACAAATGTCATTCATTATTCATTTAAAAGTGTTTAAATTTAAATTAAGAGTAAATTAAATTAAAATTTCCAATTTTTAATAGAACCAAGATAATGAAGTGTGAATATAAATTACTTTTATAATTTGACGTCAATTGCACTCTGTATAGACACAAACATTAAACCCACATAATTTTTTTGTGTCTTGTGTTAGAACAATTCATTTCGGTGTAAGAAAGAACAGCAGCTTTTTGTGTTTTAATAACAAATTGCTATTAAAAATTATGGGTTAAAAATTGCCTATATCGTAAATAATAAAAATATATTACATATTATTATTTACGGTATTTTTATTGTAACCATAAATTTTTATTTTGTTTGTAAAATATTGCTTAATATGGGCATAAAAGTTTTAAGCATGGAAATAATTTGAATACGCACAACATAAGCAAATTTGAGGTCATTAGAAATTTGGTGTAAAAGTGCAAATTTATTCGAATCAAAAATTTTAATTTAACAGTATACATAATTAACGTAGCAGTGATAGTGAATTGGGAATCTTGAACCGAGTAAAAAATTAGGATTATTAGTACCAACTTCTTTCGAATCATTTATTTGCTTTTCGGAAAATCGAGATAATTCGACCCTTCGCTTGTTATACACAAATCCATCACAAATGAGAATTTTTTCTAGACAACTGACAAATTTCGACATAACAATGTTTATTGAGGCGTGAGATTTCTAATGAAATTACAAAGCCCTCTCAAAGCTTATTAATTTTAAGCGCCCGACGAATCAACATTTTAACAATATATTATGTCAAATTTAAAAATTTTCCTTAACATTATTATATATTGAACCTCTAAATTTAAATCGGCTATACATTACAATCAACTTTCATACCACAATAATTTCATATTGCAATTATTGTTAACCAACAAAGCCTTATATTTGCATATCTTTAACGAAAAATAAATAAATGGCCGAATACTATTGAAATATCGTGTACTTAGTCTTCGTAATTAATTCTGTTTTGAAATTTGAGATCCTGCATACCGTAAAACGCAATAATTTTGAGTTATATTCTACTTCTTTAAGTTATGTGCTTCAAAAAACATTAGCAATTTTTTTTGAACTTCTGAAAATTTATTTAATATATGTACATCAGTCCCTTGCATGTAGGTCAGTTTAGTATTGAGTTGTAGACCCCAGGATATTAAAAAAAGATCCAAGAAATATAAAGTAACAGAGAAAAAACAACATTCAAATTTATTTCGAAATTAGAAAAATTATTTGGCTGCAATTTCGAAAATATTCATAAATAATATTGAACTGTCATTTAAATTTTACAATAATATTCATTACATACATATATATATGTATACGTCTACAGATTCGGTATCATTATAGAACAATAATCCAGTCTAAAATAGTTCCAGATAAATTTTTTGAAAATATTTTTGTGTCTTGTTTTTAAACAAAGAATGAAAAAAACTCATAGTTGTTTTGCGAATTCCAACGTCCCCCATATATGGGAAATTCAACAATTCTTTTTTTTAAGAATTGGCATTTACGCCATCTTGTATTGCAATTATACACAATAAGTAAAAAAATTAATCGCAATTACGAACAAAAAAAATTTATTTTAATTTTTGTCGATTTTTTTTTTTTGTACAAAAAATTCAAAATATTTTGAAGTAATTAAAAAATTTTAACATTTAATTAAAAGTATTTAAATGGAAAATTAAGTGTGCAAGGAAATTGTAATATTGTTAAAATCACATACAGAATTTTTATTACTGTTAAAGTCAGTTTTAATTTTAAAATTCGATAAAATATTGTATATAAACAGTAAAGATTTCATGAGGGACGAACAATTACACTGAATTCACTGAATTTATTATGTCCTTGATCTGTTTAGTGTTTTGTTGCAAGTGTTCTACAACAATATCGTATATTCCATGAGGAATATTAAAAATTCAATATTTAAAATGAATTCAGTTCAAAAAAACTCTTCCTACGATTTTTTTTAAATATTTTAACTTGCAATATTTTTACTATTCGCCTCCAATATCTAAGTGTTTGTACATTATTATGTATATGTATTTCTTGCATTTTTAAATATTCCGATGAACTTTTATGATAACTTTTATTGTATGACATGCGTGCAATGGTTCTCAATCGTGCATAATATTTTGAAAAAAAAAAAAACAAATAATTTGCTGATAAAGTAATGATAAGTACAATAATGTTTTGAATATTTTTGTTTTTTTGTCGTTTTAATATTTTCAAATAAACAGATTATATTTTCTATATAAAACACAAATAATGGGCCTTATAGTAAAGCACAAGTTGTTCGAAATTTATCTCTCTAAAAAAATCTGCGGGTTTGTTTTGCCACTAAGCAGAGTCATTGGATGAACTCATTGTGATAAATACAACCATAAATAATATAAAACGAATCCTTATAAGAAATGAATACTAGTCTTTTGCAGCAATTACTATAATTAACTAGAAATTTAAGGTTAATATTAATTTTCATGTGAATCGCACAAGCTAAACGAAACTAAAACAGAAGCCCAAAAACCGTTTCTCTAAGTTTCCCTATAGAAAAATGAATATTCTGTGAAAACTCAGCATCTAAACCTTAGCGCAATGAAAATTGACAATAAAATTCATATTCCTTTTCCAATTGTATGTAGTGGATCATTTTCTTTTGTTAGTAAATTTTAATTCCTGCATAATAGTTCTGCAAAAAACTTAAAATTCTAAAAAAAATTCCGGCAATCGCATGTTGCAACGATAAATATTAAATTTTTCGAAATTTCGCTTCTGTGAGTGTCACATGTCGCAGCAAGATGACATACCCTATTTAAATCAGTGCGGTATGCTCGTCATCTACATAATAAATTGAACGACGTAAGAAAATGATTCATGGTTATCTGCAACATCATGCACAAGCCCTATGCTCCTCCCAGGATAAAAAAAATTTATAATCAGTAGATTGAGTAATATTTTGACATTTCGGGCGACTATCGCTGTCATAGTGTCTTAGTAATCTAATCAGCCTATAATAAGAAAATAAAATTTGTCATTTTTTAAATTATTGTCCTAAGGTACGAGCTTTACTATTAGTGAAATCTTCTTTTCCTTTTTATGCTACAGACAACAATTGTTTTTTTATAGCATTGACACAAACCCCTTTTTTACTCTAATTTAATACTGTTTCTAAAGCACATTTTGTGAAGTTTATGCATTATTTCCAATCAATTAAATTAAACTTACATTAATATTAATTTCCATAAGCTAAAATTAATATTTTAATTGGAATTTAAATGGTGACAAATAATGAGATCAAAGTCAACAACCAGATAACATTATACAATATTTTATAGTTAGCGTGAATGTTTGTGTTATACTCGTACTATAGAAAATTTATTTCTAATAAAAATTTAATATACCAAAATGCACTATATGGCAAAGATAGATCGTGAAATATGAGTAGGATTCTTTTTAAATTTTTAATTACAAAAATTGTAATATAATTAAGATATTTTCTATTGTTAAAAATATTGATAAGAAAATAAAGGGTGGAATCGATTAGACTAACATAGATTTTTTTTAATATATACAAAGTTAGAATTAAAATTAAAT